AGTTTTGCTAGAGTGTGTGTGGAAATTCAAGCCACAACCAGGCTTATTGACTCTTTTGATCTTAGGGTGGATGTAGATGAGAAGGATAAGAAGGTGAAAATATAAGTAGAGTATCAGTGGAAGCCCAAAGTATGCCAAAGTTGCCAAATATTTGGCCATAATGAGTTCACATGTCCTAAGATGATGACTAAAATCACTTGGAAGCCCAAACATACCCAAAAGGAATCTCAACCTCTTGTTGATGATAATGGCAAGAAAATCATATCCAATGAGGTGGAACCAACAACTGAGATAGTCATGTCAAAAGAGAAACCTCCATTAGATCCTGGAAGTAGCAGTAACAGTGGAATTGAAGCTGCTAAATTCAAGCAGCCCACTCATAAACTACAGGATGAAATCCAGGTGACATCTATCTCACCTATGGAAGTGCAAATCCCAGCTCAGTTGTCTATACGTACTACATTTTCAAACAGATTTGAGGGGTTGGAAATTGAGGGAGGTAAATTGGTGGTGGATTTAGACTATGTTGTAACCAACTGTGATCATACCCATGGGGAGGCAAGTAAGCAACCTGGGGAGAATAAGAAGAAAAAAGCTAAGAAAAAGTCCTCTAGGAAAAGGAAAGATAAAGGGACTGAGCCCTTAAAACTCAGGTTTTCTTCTCTCCTATGATTAAGTTAGACCGCTGGAATATAAGAGGACTTCACAAATCCTCTAAGCAGGAAGCAGTAAAGAAATTAATTTTTGAACATCACCTTGATTTAGTGGGGATTGTAGAAACCAAGGTGAGAAGTGTAAATATTTCAGCTGTTAAAAATAACATATTTAGACAATGGGAGTTTTTGGCAAACTACATAAGTCATACTTTTGGTAGGATTTGGATTGGGTGGAACCCAAACTCTGTCATGCTGACTAAGCTCTCGAAAACTGATCAAGTGGTGCACTGTGATGTGGTACATTTGAACACTACAACAAAAATTTATGTATCCTTAGTATATGGGTCAAATGAGGATAATGAGAGGAGGGACTAGTGGAGAAATCTAGTTTACCATGCCGGACTTTTTAAATCCTACCCTTAGTTAGCTATTAGGGATTTTAATGCTATAAGTAGCTGCAATGAGAATCATGGTGGACTAAACAAATGGGTGCAAGCTATGGGGGAATTTGATGATTGTATACAAGAAGATGAACTTTTTGATTTGAGGTACTTAGGGCTATTCTTCACTTGGAGCAGTAGAAGAGAAAAAGGTGCTTGTGTTTTTAGGAAACTTGATAAAGCCCTTGAAAATGAGGCTTGGATCTAGAAATTTGACAGAGCAAAAGCTGAATTCTTACCCCTAGGGGTATCATATCATAGTCCTGCATTGGTGAAGTCAGGGAGGAGGTGAATAGGAAGAATTGCCCTTTTAAGTTCATTAATTTTTGGGCCGACAGAGAAGATTTTCTGCATATTGTAACCCAAATATGGCAGGAACCTATTCAAGGATCAAAATAGTTCAAAGTTTGCTTTAAACTTAAGAAACTAAGAGTTGTGTTTAAAGCAAAGAGGGGGGAAATAGGTGAGCTATCTACCTCAATTATAGAAAAGAAAGCTTTACTTGATAACTGCCAAAGGAGACTAGACCTTAACCCTTTAGACTCAACTCTCAAATAGGAGGAGAAACTATTACTCAATGAATACTTGGAGGGTGCTAAGAATGAGGAAATCCTATATAAATAGAAATCCAGAATATTATGGTCGAGTGAAGGAGATAACAATACTGCTTTTTTCTTTAAAACAATGAATTGCAAAAAGAACAAGAAGAAGATTTTAAAACTTGAATCCGCTGATGGTAGTGTGGTGGAAGGAGAGGAAGCAATTAAGGGATAAGCTATTGACTATTTCTAGAGAGTTTTAGGAACTACCAGCAACCTCAATACTTCATTAGAGAGAAGAGCCTTATTAAGATCTCTGTCACTGAAGAAGGTCACAAAGCAGCAAATAAATCATATGATCAGACATATTGAAGGTGAGGAAATCAAAGAGGTGTTGTTCTCCTTTAATAATATTAAGGCACCTGGACCTGATGGATTTACTGCATACTTCTTCAAAAAGGCATGGCCAGTGATTGGTAGGGACATGTTAGCTGCAATGAAAGAATTTTTTAGATCTGGAAAATTACTAAAGGAACTTAACTCTACTATGATTGCCCTTGCCCCTAAAAGTCCAAATCCAAACTCGATGGGGGATTTCATACCCATATATTTTGTAACTTGTTATATAAGGTCATCTCTAAAATTCTGGAAAATAGAGTGAAGGTTGTGCTCCAAGGTATTGTAAGCTTTAATCAAACTGCCTTTGTTCAATGAAGGAAAATTTGAAAAAATATTATGCTCACTCAGGAACGCCTAAGAGACTACCATAGAAATAGTGGATCTCCCCGATCTGCTATTAAATTGCATATTATGAAAGCTTATGACACATTGGATTGGCATTTTCTTTTGGATGCCCTTGAAGCTTTCCATTTTCCAGAAATTGTGAGAAATTGGATAAGGGAATGTATAACTTCTCCTCGGTTCTCTGTCAATATAAATGGGGAGATGGCAGGATTCTTTTCAAGCTCTAGGAGCCTAAGGCAGGGTGATCCCTTTTCACCTTATCTCTTTGTTTTGGCCATGGATGTTTTTAGTTCTGTCATATGGCAGCAAATTACCTCTAATCCTTCTTTCAGGTTTTATTGGAGATGTAGAAAGATGGCTCTTACTCACCTACTTTTTGTTGATGATGTCTTACTTTTGAGTCATGGAGATACTCAGTCTATAAGAGTATTGAAAGCTGCGATTAACCAATTTCAAGCCCTCTCTGGGCTTAGAGCAAATTCCTTGAAAAGCAATGTATTCATGTCTGGGATGTCTGACGAGGCAAAAGATCAGATTACTAATATTCTTGGATTCCAAATTGGTACTCTACCTATGAGATATTTGGGGATCCCCTTGGTGTCCACTAGATTCGAGAGGCAATATTGTGATGCTCTGATGGAAAAAATGGAGTCTAGGGTGAAAAGTTGGACCAACAGGTTTCTATCTTTTGCTGAAAGGCTTCAATTGATTACCTGTGTGCTCAATAACATCCAAAATTTCTGGTTAGCCCATATTTTTATTCCCCAACAAGTTCTTGATAAATTAGAAAGAATGCTTAGATCATTCCTTTGGAAGGGGACTGAACTCAAGCCTACTGGAGCCAAAGTGGGCCGGGAGGACATTTGCAGACCTAAGAAAGAAGGGGGATTGGGGGTTAGAAGACTTAAGTAGATGAATCATGCAATGATGATGAGATATTTGTGAATTTTATTTATTGACAAAGAAAGCCTCAAGGTGAAATGGATCCATTCTTATCATTTAAGAGGCAAAAGCATCTAGGAAGTTAAGCCACCTCACTCTTGCTCTTGGAACTGGCTGAACCTCTTGAAATTGAGACCAATGGTTAGACCTCTAATTCAAGTACTAGCCTTTGGTTGGATAATTGGCAAGTTGGATAATTGGCACCCTCATGGTCCTCTTCTACTTAAATGGAGTGATAATATTATTGATCATGCAAGGTTACCTAAGGATGCTAAAGTGGCAGCAATCGTTGGCAACAACAATCTCTTGAAAAGTCAAAGAAGGGAAAGATGATAGTGTATCATTGGTCAAAAAATGAAGCCTAGGATCATTTACATAGCCAAAGATAAATAAATAAGTAAATAAATAATTTAAATTGCCTAATAAAGGTTACACTATCAATTAACTGGCAAATGTGTGGTTATTTTCTTTATGTTTCTTTCTTAGACATCATTGTATTGAATTGAATAATTTGTATGTGAATGATAAGCAGTGGATCTTACATGACTGGAGCGATGAAAGAGAGCTTGAGGATGCTAAAGAAATGTAGAGAGGTGATCCCAAGTTTGGACAAGAGAGGAAAGGTTATAATCATCGACATGATCATGCAAAATCAAAAAGGAGATGACGAGTCAATTGAAACACGACTCTTTTTTGACATGTTGGTGATGATTTTGTTGACCGGTAGAGAGAGAAATAAGAAAGAGTGGGCAAAACTCTTCTTTGATGCTGGCTTTAGTGACTATAAAATAACTCCTTTTCTGGGGTTGAGGTATGTTATTGAGGTCTATCCTTGATGATATCTAGCTCATATTTGCTTCAATAAGAGCCATATTGAAGGGTGGATTTATAATAAAGAATAACTAATGCAAGATTGCTATGTTACTTTTAGAAGAAGATCTCAATCTTAGAATTTGTGACAAGTATTAGCAGCAAACAAAACTCTAGTTGATGATGTATGAATGTAAGAGCCTGAGTTTATGAGTATTCGAACAATCCCATAGTGGTCTTAGGAAAGAAACAATAACTTTATATACAAAAATTGAAACAATATAGTGTTATCTAAAAAATTAACCAAATTTGTTGAACTAATGATGTGCACTGACATATTCTAATAGTATTATTATGACTTTAACTCTCAGAGACATAACAAGATTGGAGTTGTTGTGAATGTCTATTGGTTCAAACCTATTTTGGAAGCTAATGTGATCAAGTTGAAACTATTTTGTATCAAATTTACCGCTGGATAATGCATATTTTGGAAGACAATGTGATGAAGTTGGAGTTATTTTGTATCAAATGTACTAGTGGATTATGTATTATGCAATGCAAACTGGATTTTGTATTTGGATGGTGTTGGTTCAAACATAGTTGCAGTTGTATTTAGATACATCCATTTTCTTAATAACACAAAATAACACCATGACAAAAAAGTATATCCACTTTGCATTAACTTCATGCAAAAATAGTTGCAGTTAGCTGACAAAAAATTATATCCACTTTACACCCCCCATAAGAAAAGCTAACTGTGTAGTTGCAACACATTATCAACATAGAGTTGCTGTGAGATACAAAAAGTGACTGCTGAGTTTTACCCCTATTAACAGTACATCCCAAAAATCACAAAAGGTCCTAGAGTTTCACTGTGTCCCCACTACATTTTTTGTCTTCCTTACTTTCTTGGATGAGTTGGAGTGTTGTGTAGGAATTGGTGCAGATTTGGAGTGTTGTGTAGGAGCTAGTGCAGACTTGGTTTGCTTGGGTAGGATAGGTTGTGCTGCACCAGCTTGGGGTGGCATCAACACAGGTGGTGTTGAAGTTTTTCTTGGTGGCCTCCAAGCAAGTTGTGTTGAAGTAGTTTGTGGTTGAGTAGCTTGGGGTTGTCTAGCTGAGGGACATGATGTATTTCTTTTCCTTCTAACCTGTCAAAGAAAAAAAACAACTATTAGTTAAATTTTGTAACTATTAATTGAAAGAAGGTGGTTCATGTCTTACAGGTAACTTTTGTCTGCCCTTTGTAAATTTATATTGAGTAGCATCGTGACTTGACCTTGAACCACTTTGTGATGCATTTTCCATAGCTGCCACCTGACCATTAAATGTACAAAGGTTAATGTTAATAATAAAAATCAACCAATTGCAGATAGAAAAACTTACTAATAAAATATCTACATGATCTGGAGAGTGTTGTGTCTGGACAAGTTAATGTATCTACGTCACTGGAAGTTGTAACCACCTTGCACTTCCTCTTGCTGTGACCAGCTTGACCATAAGTTCCACATATGATTGCTTTGTATTTCCTTCTCAACTTCACACCTTTGTCAGACTCACCCTTCTTTCTCCTTCTTGCCTTCTTGGGCCTACCAGGTCTTGTGGTTTGATTAGAGGGAATGAGATTGGCATAACCTGTTTTGGGCTACAATTCCTTCCCATTAATAGGACTCATCAGTTGACTGTAACAATTGAGGAATGTTTCAACCTTGTACCAATCAGTCACATGATCCTCTGCTGACAAACCTAAGTAGTTGAAGGCAGGCACACCATGTTTATAGGGATTCCTGTTGTTAAGAATAATAGGATAGTATGTGTAATTTATTAATAGTAAGAGGGTGTATGTATGATTATTGTTATTGTAGGTTAACTATAAATACAAGTTTGTATGAGAGTTAGGTTAAGTTTTAACCTCTCTCTGTTTCCTCTAATATTGGGTTAATTCTCCACACTTAACATGGTATTAGAGCAAGGTTCATAAATATATTCTGAATAAATTAATTTGTTTACAGTACTGTGGTGGTGTCTGTGTTTATCGAAGCGTGGTGGTGGTGGTCTGTTTGTTGTACTGTTGTGGTGTTGTTGCTTGTCATAGCATCATGGTGGTGGTGGTGGTACTGTTGTGGTGCCGGTGTTTATCGAAGAGTAGCAATGGTGGTGGTACTGTTGCAGTGGTTGTCTGTCGTCTACCATCATCTGTTCTTTGTCGTCTACCATTCGTCGTCGTGGTGAGACTCAGTCGACGACTAAGGTTGTCGGAGTTGTGATGGTGGTGTGGCTGTTGTGGTGGGCTGCCGTTTGAAGTGGTGGTGAGGCGCAGTCAAAACAAGAGTTTACTAAAACCCTAATCGACGAACGAAGAAGACGAAGGTCCAGACCCGATCCAGCCCGGTCCTGATCCAGCTTGATTAAATCGGGTTTAGCCTAGACTGGTTCAGCCTAGACCGAATCAATCCCGATTTGGTCCCGGTCCAGTGACTCTTTGTAGTCCAGTTCAGACAGTTTTGCACTGGTTCATACCGATTCAGTTAGTTCTCACCCCGGTTCAGCAGTCCAACGTACCTAATCTGTCCGGTTCACTGATCCAGCAAGTTAAGCCAACCCGGTTCAGTGGTCCAGGTGGTTTAGCCTGTCCGGTTCAACAGTGTAACTCTTCCAGTAGCCTGGTTTCCAGCCTAGTCCAGTGGTTCAAAGGGCTTAGCTTGTCCGGTTTAGCAATGTAACACTTCTGGTTCAGCCTGTTTTCTTCCAATAGCCTGTTTTCTTTTGTCCTTGTTTGTTATTTGGTGCATTGTTATGGACCCCAATTAAGATACCAGATCCATTACTCCATCTTTGCCTCCTCCTACTATTATTAATGGTCACATGACCTCTGTTAAACTCAATGGGACTAATTATACGTTATGGTCTCAGTTTGTTCAAGTCTTTCTTCGAGGCAAAGGATTTAAAAAATATTTTGGTGGGTCCTAAACCTAAGGAAGATACTCCTAGGTATGATCAGTGGGAACAAGAGGACGCTCAAATTATTTTTTTACTATTGAATAGCATTGAGCCTAATATTAGTTCTACTCTGCTCTACCTTGACACTGCCAATGAGATATGGGATCACTTGGCTACTATTTATTCTGGTACATTAGGTAATTTAGATTCTTTACCTATTGCTCTTCGCAAAGGTACTCGTTTGTGTGTTACTAATCATCTCATTTCTCATTTTGTTTCATATGATGTCTTGTCTCCTGTCTTCTCCTGTTTTACTTCCCAATTACCTGCTATATCGATTCCTAAACATTTATAGGATGCATTATCTAATCCGGGTTGGAAAAAAGCTATGGAGGAGGAGATGGATATTTTATATCATAATGGGACTTGGGATCTCGTTCCTTTACCCCTGGTAAATGAACTGTTAGCTGTCGATGAGTGTATACTATTAAATTTCATCCAGATTGTTTTGTGGAGCGTCTTAAAGCCCGGCTTGTTGCAAAGGGCTTTACTCAGACTTATGGTGTTGATTATGAGGAGGCTTTTTCTCCTATTGCCAAAATTTCTTCTATTCGTATCTTGATTTCTTTAGCTGCTAATCTTGATTGGCCCTTGTTTCAATTAGACGTCAAGAATGCTTTCTTAGATGGTGACTTGGTAGAAGAGGTATACATGGAGCAACCACCTGGGTTTACTGCTCAGGAGGAGTATGGTCAGAGTGTATGTCGATTAAAAAAATCTTTGTATGGTTTAAATCAATCACCGAGAGCATGGTTTGGTAAGTTTTCAGATACAATTTTAGAGTTTGGTCTTTTTCGATGTCAGACAGATCATTATGTGTTTCATAGACAGATAGATGTTGTATATGTCCTATTGGTTGTCTATGTAGATGATATTGTAATTACTGGAAATGATTTTGAGGGGATTGTCAAGTTAAAAATATTCTTATAGGATCGATTTCATACTAAGGATTTGAAAAATTTTAGGTATTTTTTGGGTATTGAGGTGGCTCGATCTAAACAAGGTATTTGTTTATCTCAGAGGAAATATGTACTTGACATGTTTGAGGAAGCAAGTTTGCTAGGTGGTAGGCTGATTGATATTCCTATGGATCCAAATTAGAAATTATTGTTTGATGATGGTGCATTGTTTGAGAATTCGGGTCGATATTACAGATTGATTGGGATGCTTAATTATCTCACTATCATTCGACCGGATATTTCCTATGCAATTAGTATAGTAAATCAGTTCATGGGATGTCCTAGAGTACCACATTGAGAGGCAGTTATTCGTATTTTGCGATATCTCAAACGAGCTCCTGGACTTGGACTGTTATATCGAGCTAATGGACATCTTACAGTAGAAGGTTTCTCAGATGCTGATTGGGTTGGCTCTCCGTCTGATCGGAGATCAACCATTGATTATTGTACTTTCTTAAGAGGTAATGTTGTCTCATGGAAAAGTAAGAAACAACCCGTGGTAGCAAGATCCATTGCTGAGGCTAAGTATAGGGCAATGGCACATACGACGAGTGAGCTGACGTGGCTATTACACTTCCTCCAAAAAATTGGATTTTCAGTTCAACTTCATTTACAGTTGTTTTGTGGCAACCAAACAGCTATTCGTATTTCTATCAATCTTGTGTTTCACGAGAGAACTAAGCATATTGAGGTTGATTGTCATTTTATTCGGGACAAGATAGTAATTGGGGAGATAACAACTCCATTTATGAAATCTGAAGATCAGCTTGCAGATATGTTTACCAAAGCATTGAGTCTTACACGTCTTACAACTATTTGTTCCAAGCTTGGATTATATGATATATATAGTCCAGCTTGAGGGGGAGTGTTAAGAATAGCAGGGTAGTATGTGTAATTTATTAATAGTAAGAGAGTGTATGTGTAATTATTGTTATTGTAGGTTAACTATAAATACAAGTTTGTATGAGAGCTAGGTTAAGTTTTAACTTTTCTCTATTTTCTCTAATGTTGTGTTAATTCTCCACACTTAACACCTGTTAAGTCCCACTTCCTACAACTACAAGTCCTATCTTGTATGTTGATTGTTGCTTTGTCTCCACTCATCCCAACAACTTCAAACTTTTCATGTCCATTCCATGTAGGAATGAAAGCTGTTGACTCCATTTTAATGGCTTCTAATCTCTTTTGAATCCTAGGACAAATGGATCATTTATACTTTTTAATTGAATCCCTCTGTCTATGTATTCTTTCCATAAGCCAAACTCTTATAGTTTCAAGCATTGTTAAGATAGGTTTGTCCCTAGCCTCTACAATAAAAGCATTGAAGCTCTCACACAAATTATTGAGTAGCATGTCACATTTGGGCAATGTACTAAAATGGGACCTAGACCAATTTGTTGGTGGCCTTTTACACAACTATTGATAGGCAGATTCATCAACACTTTGTAACTCCTCCATGACATTACTAAAGTCAACAATTCTTGAAGACTTAGCAACCCTCCACAATAAGTCCTTCAAAGCTAAGCCATTATACTCAACTTTGCAGTTGTTATACAAGTGTCTCACACAGAACCTATGTTCTGAATTTGGAAAAAGAGTCTCAACTGCATCAAGTATTCCCTACATAAACAATTGGAGGAGTAAATGCATAAAATAAACATCATGTATAAAATAAAATAAGTAACAAAAAACATTAGATAAAAACTTTCCTTTTGCTTATCTGACATAAAAGTCCATGCATGGTTGTTATCTATACATAGATCCTACTTCAACAATTGGAGGAACCATGGCCAAGACTTCTTTTTTTCCTGTTCTACTACTGCATAAGCAATTGGATACATCTGATTGTTAGGGTCAATTCCAATAGCTGACAGTAAAATGCCATATTGATGGAACTTCAAATGACAGCCATCCAAACCAATTAATGGTTTGCAGCCCAGTTGTAACCCACTTTTTAGTGCTCAAAACATATATATATATATATATATATATATATCCTCTTGAACCTTACTTGATCACCTCCTACTGCTTTGGTTTTGATAATACAGGTAGTACCTGGATTGTTTCTCCTCAACTCTTCACAATAATCCCATAACAACATGAACTAGTCTTTGTCTTTGGCACTAATCCTTGTCCTTGTTGCAGCTTTGCCCCTATATACTTGGCTTTTACTTAAGGTCACAACATGTTCTTTCAACAAAGTTTGCTTAATTGATTTCATTGGTCATGTAGGGGTGGATCTCAACCTTTCAACATACGTATTAGCCAACCACTTTGCATTGGCATGCTTCACTTTGAAAGTTATATTGCAACTATGTTCACCATTAAAAGTTTTAATCTACATTGTCTTCTCTCCTGCCATGCTGGAAGCATAAATCAACCAATCACACCCTTCCCTACAAACTGCCTTTACTCTAGACTTCTCATTTTTAGTGAATCTTATTTCTTTTCCCCATTTTATTGCATGTTGCCTAACTGCAGCTCCAAATTCAGCAACTGTTTTGAACAACATACCTAGCTTAAACTTTGCGTCAACCATATCAGACTTTTAATTAAATTGTGGATACTTCACCCTCTTTCTCTTACAATGTCCTCCTTCCTCGTTTTCCAATGATGAACCATTAAGACTTAATAACTCTTCACCGTCATAGTCTTCAGCATACAAAGCATTATCAACATCCTTTGTTGTGCCTCTTTCACTATCAACACCTTTCCCTTTGTCAACCCCATTCCCCTTGTCCTTACCAAAAAATTCAACTTTCTTGTCAACAAATGTCTCATATAATTGATCATCAATTATGTCATACTCACTATCATAAAAAGATTCATAGTCTGATGAGTCACTATCATTCATATCCCCATCACTATCAGTCTCAACTCCAACTTCTTGTTGTATGGTACCACAGTTTGACTTAACCTAACTTTGCTTAATATGGTCAACATAAATATCAATGACTCTATCCTCATCAACCCAATTGATCATGTCCAAGACCTGCACATCATTTTCTAACAACCACCAATCATGCCAAGATCTATGATAGAATTTATTAATCTCATAGGATCCTAATGATATCTCATCAGCATACAATCTCATAGTATCCTTTAACATACTATCCAACTCAATCAATTAAATCTCATCAACATAACACATATCAATGTGATTGACCTTCCCACCAGTATATGCTCTATCACCCAAATGTTCCAATGTACCACCATGATGCAATCTGATAGTAAAATATTCAGAAAATTGATCTACATGTACCACCAAATGACCAACAGGCTACACACTGTTAATCTTATATAACCCCACAATGCAAACACAATTGTTCAGGAAAAAAGTAACAAAATAACAACACACACATAATTGCATGCAGACAAAAACTAGTCCCCACAATAGACCCACAAACATCCAAACAATAAACCCCCACAATTCAAACACAATAGAAAAATAGTAATAAAATAACAAACACACCAACCCACATACAAAAATTGGTCTCAACCATATACCCACAAACATACCAGAATGACAAAATGGATAACAGTTTACAAACACACAAACCCACCAAAATGAACCCCATATTCTAAACACAATAGAAAAACAAACACAAAAAATACAATTACCATAGCATGGTGCATCTCAATGAGTCTGTAAATCGTTGGTCCCCTCCCTCAGCGACCACGACATTTTTTGTCCAGGAAAGCTAAGCTGGTACAGAATTAACCAGTTTTTCACTGTAAATTGTTCGTAGAGAATATACACAGCCTCTTTCTTTGACTATGAAGCCCTAGACAAGAATCATGCTACCTCTTCATCTTTTTCTCTCTCTCAGTACTCTGAAAATGTGAAGGCAATGGCTGTAGATGATCGGTTTCTTGAACCGAGGTGTTGTCATTTGCAAATCACATGTGAGATTACCTTGTTCATTTACAGGTTTGCCCTTTTACATTCTCAGTTATCACGTGTTTTGCACGTGAGCATAAAAAAGACAGCAAACTAAATGGCAGTTAGGTGTTGGATCTAATTGTTACCGTTTTATTTCTTTCAGGGTGCAACGTGAGAATTTTTATCTTTCAGAATGTAAATTGAGAATTTAGCAATATTTTAGGGTGCAAAGTGAAATTAACCCTTAATGGTAAAAACAGTCTCCCTTTGAACACAAATGTTATTGATAAATTTCTCCCTCCCTCATTTCTATCAAATTTCTTGCTGAATGTGTAATTTATACTATTAAACAGTCGATATACACTTATAACTTGTGGACATCCATGGATAATATAACTACAAGTACAATATATTAAAAATAAAATTATTTATAATTGATTTTGATATATTTTTATATAAGAAATCTATTAAATTTTTAAGAATATTTTTCTTGAAAAAGTATACATGAGTCTAAAGAACTCATTGCACTTTAAAACACATCCATAACCCATAATAATCCCAAAATATTATAAATCATTTGTTAAAGAACAACCCTAGGTGGAGATTATAAGAAATGTTAGTTCATGAATAAACTGATCTACTCAGTGTAGTATGTTCAAAAATCTCATCATCTAATATCAATTACTTACTTTCCCCCTTTTGGCTATTATATTGGGTAAATTATATTTCCACGCCTTAAACTATCATCATTTTTTCACTTTTCTCACTTTGCACTCTAAATTAATACTTTTGCTTCACATTGCCCCAATCACAAATGTCTGTTATCTTTTTGGATGGGAATTGTTGCAATGTCGGAGTAAAATAAAAAAAATGACATAGTTTGGGGGATAAAAGGAAATAAATTTTCATTAAATATGTAATAGACGCTAATAACTGGAGCTATGTAAGACTAATCACATAGTTTAGAGTATAATGTGAAAAATCTTGTAGTTGAGGGACAAAGAGAAAAAGGGTGATAATTTAAGGATTAAAAATATAATTTTTCCTATTATGTAAAAAGTACTAATGAGCGTCTCGTGCTATGCACATAATTTAGTTTCCTCGTCATCACCCCTGTTTCACCTTTCTTTTTACCCTCATATTATTGAAAAATGACCCTTAATGAATTAAAATAATATTTAGTAATGTAAAAAAGTAAAAAATTTGACTAACAATTTAAATTTGAAATAGTTTAGAAAGATAGTGGAAGTTGTTCTAAAATATGGAGGAAGTAGTTAAATAAGCGAAATAAAATAATTTAATTTGAATGAGATAATTAAATATTTCAAAAATCTAGAAATTAAGCATTTGAGGAGGGAAGACTTCTCAAACCTTCTGACCAAAAATATTTGTTATATTTATATCTATAATATAAATCAGGACAGACTTTAATAAGTTCATTTGACGGTCTCCAATAGAATCATCCAAGGACCACTAATTTTTCTCTTAAAATCATTCGCATTAAATTTTTTCCCACTCCAAATCTATTATTTCTCACTTATGTTGCACCATATTTTCAGACACGGGTTATCTCCTAATATATCTACATACTAGTAGTCAGTCCCATGCAATGCACAAAATTATAATTCTTATTTTTTTATTTTTTATTTTATCACTTGAGAAGTTAAATAAATAATTATATAAAAGTTTTTGGGTGATAAAAGTAGTGCTCAGTTATTGAGGAGTTAGTGGGCACTTACCTACATGTCAGAATCTGATTAGAGGGAGCCTTAAATTTTGAATTAAAAAAATCTAAATTCTAAGAAATTAAAAATTGAGAAGGGAGGGCTTATCAAACCCTCCCACCTCTTATTTGATTGTTATATATATATACTAGTTATAATCCGTGCCTGAAGACAAGATAAAATATAAAATTTGAGCGTCAAAAAAATCGATCCCATTATATTAATTTTTTTCAAAATATATTAACTACAAATTAATCAAATATTAAATGATTAAATACTTGATAAAAATGTGTGATGTGATGTTTTTAGGAAATAAATATATAAATGATTAAACATATGATAGAAATAAGTAATGCGATTTGACGTTTGAGTCTGACAAAGAGATGATGGGTGAGGTAAGTGATTGGTGATGATTTTGAGAGGAAAAATATGATTGGGATAAAATTCAAACACACTCTTTTTTATTATATAGATATATATATATATATAGATTGACTTATTTTGTATTAGCTAAAATTTTAGGATTTTATTATGCAACTAAGATCTTGTAATAATTGCTCGCAACTATCTTGATGTCTTTCATCCAATTCAATTGACTAAAATACCACGTGAAGGCTTCTACATGCATTCTTGCTTATTTGATTATCCACTAAATTTTCTGGGCCGCACCAACTTTCTTTATGATTCAATTAAGAAGTTACTGAAATTTTTTAAAATAAAATATGTCCCAAAATTAAATTTATTAATTTTTTATTTTTTTAAAAAAATATTTCAAAGTAAAATGTATAATCTAAACTCATATTAATCAATCACACCTCGCATGACCCATAATCACACCCCATAGGACCATATTCATATTTTATAAACTATGCCCCAAGTACACTTTGTACACAACCAATCAATTGTAAAGAACTTAACCCAAAATACAGGTCAGATTAACAAAGAATTTCATATCAATAAAAAACAATCAATAAGAGTATAAATTTTGAATAACTAAAATGACACTCTTTGCAAAGAGATTAAAATACAAAAATATGTTGTCTACGGCCCCATATCTCAAATCACCAAGAGATATCGATAAATTTGTTCATCACCGCCCCCCCACCCCCACCCCTCTCTCTCCTTTCTCATCTTTCTTTATCTTCTTTGCTCTCTTTCTCTTTTTCTTTGTTTCCTCCTTGGGTTGAGCTTTTCCCCAAACTCAGTCTCTCCACCATCTTTATTCTCAAATCTAGTTTGTTTTAAACTTATTTCTCAAATCCAATTTTTTTAAAAAAAAAATCATTTAAAATGACATTTTAAAACTGAATTTTTTTATTGAAAATGACGTTTAAAGGCATCATTTTTAATAACATATTTTAAAATGAATTTTCAAACGGCAACCTAACAGGTGTTAAAAAAAATTAATGGGTAAAAAACGTCATTTACAATGACCTTTTTTGTGACTTATGATGGTGGGGACTTTGATGGAGCTCACCATGAAAGAGTTCCTCCGACGTTACCACGAGGATACTGGGATCACATTTTCATCCCTTTACCCAGGTTGCATTGCTACAACAGGCTTGTTTAGGGAGCACATCCCATTGTTCAGGGCTTTGTTCCCTCCATTCCAGAAGTACATTACCAAGGGCTTTGTCTCTGAAGATGAAACTGGAAAGAGACTTGCACAGGTAAATATTAGTACCTCCAATGAAAAATTGAATAGATAAAATACATTTGGAGACTTCATATCATGATGTGTAATGTGCCGAATTACTCGGTTTTTTATCTAGGTTGTCAGTGATCCAAGCTTGACAAAATCGGGGGTCTACCGGAGCAGGAACAAGGACTCGGCATCATTTGAGAACCAATTGTCTCAAGAAGCTAGTGATGCAGAGAAGGCCAGGAAGGTGTGGTAAGTCAGTGAGAAACTTGTTGGTTTGACATAAATGGAATCTGTGGGATTCTTCAAATCGAGTAAGCTTTGCCAAAGGAGAGGAATTTCTGGGTCCATTTGTTATTTATGAGTGCAGTGTTTGAATTTGGATGAAGAGGCTTTGTAAGCAATTTTCTCTTGTAAAATTAGGTGACTTTGAGTAAATAAAATTAGACGACCCATTTGATAAATGACAATTATGTGGTAGTCTCACGATCAGCAAGGAGAAAGAGATCATTTGAATTACTCTGGAAGTTGGGACATTCAGCAAATTTACGAAATGAAAATCACATGGTTTTTGCACATTGCAGCCTAATACCATGCATGTCATCACCAAAAGAAATGATTTACGAGGTAGTTTTTTGAATGGACTTCTGCAGTACCTCATAACTCGTGCAAAGTACACAAGCACGAATAAGACAATTAGAACTTTGGAGTCACAGACAAAATTTTCAAAAGCTTCACTTATCTCACATAAACATCAGGCTTGGGAAATTTACACGTAAACACTCTGTCTACATCTACTCTATTTGTAGAAGACACTTATAGTTCATAACCAGGGAACCTAGCCTCAGATGGTTCGATCATGTCCAGAAAGAGATAAGCCATTCCTCCAAGGCCTTCAAACAGTGAGTAGGGGTGATTACCTCCATGCATTATCTCCTCTGATATGAGAACTTGAGCTCTATCATTTAGAAAGCAAGCAAACGCTTTGGCCCTGTACAAGAACTCCACTTTGCCTGTCAATCTGTAAAGTGAAAAAAAATACATAGGTATTCCCACTGATACCATGACAAAGCCCAACTCGTTTAAGCAGACCCCGATTCCATACCACCTCCCCTGCATCCACACCTGCCCTCAGAAACTCCTCACTTCCAAAAACTCATGAAATAGCAAGAATTCTAATGAACCAAATGTAGTAGAGGACTTCTTTGTAAGTGAGCCTGCAATGACTCATCAAGAAAATAGGTTAAGTTTGACATTTAGGCAAATTTTTTGAGCAATTTCGGCAGCATATCAACCTATCAAATAGTAAGTTGGGCATCCCACCAATGGTAAGCTGGGAGTAATTTCACCAGGAGGTGAATATTTCCAATCTACTTTGTAGTCTAGACCTATCCTAACAAATTCAGCAAAACTCAGAAATCCCATTAACAGTAAAGTGCCAAAAATCATAACTTTGCACCAATCCGGTAGAACAAAACCAATACCCATCTTAAAATTGAGAAAATCACAAGTAATGCCCCAGCAAAGGGTATAATTTCCAATGGTTGAAACTATGGTTGATAGGATAGGTACTGTTGGTACAAATTCTTGCACAACTCAAGGATTCTGGCTGACTTGGGTTAACCACTTGGACGACCCCCCAGTAGCCTTTACCTCCGTCCCACATCGGGTAGAAGTCGTCTCCCCCCTGCCATATAATCCCTTGGCCTCAATGGAGGAGGTACCCACTAGCCACAACTCAAGGATTCTGGCTAACCTAGTTTAACCCTTTGGGCGACCCCCAATAGCCTTTACCTCCATCCCACATCGGGTAAGAGTCGTCTACCCCCTGCCATATAAGCCCTTGGTCTCAGGTCAGTCAGAATCCTTGAGTTGTGCAAGAATTTGTTCCAACAAGTACCTATGGTTGAAACTAGTCAACGCAACATATAAAGGATATTCATTTCATTAGCAAACATATACTTGTATACACACATATTACATAACTCCAAATAGAAAACTCCATTCCGTGAGGGTATATCTGACACATGCCTTGTATTGGTCAAAATCAAAGCACAAATGGCTCAACCAAATCTACTCTGCAGCACCAAGAAACCACAACCATCAGAGTAACATGTCGGACCCCAAAAGACTCGTAGTAAGGTCTCAGCGTCCAGTCAAAAGAGGAGAAAAGTGATCAACTGAGAGTAACGAGTTTATCCAATGTTGCTAATTACCTACTTTCCAAAAAAAAAATCCTGCTGCAAATAAGATGCAATGGCACTAAAAACAAACAAGTATTCATTTTAGATCAACAACTGAAAAGAATACACATTCTGAAAAAGAAAAAATAACAATAACAACATGACTACTGAAAAAGGATATTGCACGTTAGTCTCCTATTTCACTCATTTTTCCAAATTTAAGCCCTACCCTAGCCTACCCAGATCGCAGTATATTTTGACAGTATATATTGACACAGAGAGAGAGAGAGAGAGGGGAAAATACCAGAGAATATGTGTACAGCACCACGGGAGAAAATGTGTACAGTACCACCGGAGAAAATTTGTTACCGGAGTTAAGGTCGTCGGATTGGTCTTCCTCGTCGGAGACAATGGTGGATGAGTGGTTGGAGGCGGAGGAGAGATCAATCTTCCTCGTCAAATAAGACAGTGGGTGAGAGTGGTTGGTGGATGAGAGCTCGATTAACCTGAAAGAGAGGGAGGAGGAGAGTTCGATTGAACTGTTGTGATTTGGGATCTGATTTGGGAATTGTTCATTTGAAAATCTGATTTAAATTATTTCGCGTAAATCGGCATTTGGAATGGCGTATTTAAATTTGTCACTTTAAATAATATTTTATTAACTTTTAATATCATTTGACATTGTTATCGGGCCGTTTAAAATAATAAGTTAAACATGTTATTTAAAATGATGTTTCTAAATGCGTCACTTTTAATGACGTTTTATTCTTTAATTATCTCAATTTTTATAAGGTTAAAAATATTATTTTAAATAGCATTTTAATTCACAAAGACGTCATTTAGAATAACGTTTTAAAAAAAAAAAAGACTGAATTTAAAAAATAAATTTAAAATAAACTGAATTTTGAAATTAAATTATGGGGGAGTTTGGGTTTGGGGAAAAGCTCCCTTGGGTTCGATCACTGATATGTTTACAAATAAAAGTAACATCACATGGGTGATGGCTTTAGGTGATGAAATGGTTGCATCACCATGAAGACTTGGCACTTGTCATTTTTTTATTTTTTAAAAAAAACACTGGTTACCATTCTTTAGTTCATTGACACTTGTCATTTTATGACTCTATATATGTTACAAATAAAAGTATTTTAACATAAAAAAAAATTGATTGACTATTATGTCTTGATGAACTAGTATAAAGGCTATTGTATCCATTTGTAGTTAACTATCTTTATCCATTTATAGTTAACTATCCATATCCATTTATAGTTAACTATTCAAATTATTTTTATATTTTTCTATAATTAATCATCCAAATTACCTTTAAACAGATTTTATTATGTATAAGAAGACGGTACTAAATGAAGTACCATATCAAAACTACACAAATATTTTTTTAATTATATTTTTTCAAATTTAAATTCTAACAAAAAAAGTACATCATAACATTTTAATTGATCCTAAAAAAATAAAACTTTAGAGGTCAAGTAATATATATTTTTCAAATATTTAATAAGTATTGATCATAAATGTTAAGTTCAATCTTAAAATTTTAGATTTGATTTCAAACACATCAAACAATTATGACTTAACTTTCCAATATTATATTTTGTTGTATGGTCCTGAAAAAAATAAATATCAATACCATATAATTATCCTAATCTTATAATTTCTCTACATATACTATATTCTATACAAATGGTAACTATCTTGAAAAAAATTAGTTTTCTATTATACCCTATTTTAATATTTTAAAGTCAAAATTTTCTTCATCTAATAACTACCGTAATTTCATAATTAGACTCTTAAAATTATGAAATAATGATTTTAAATGGTTACGGAGTGACTCTATAGATTCTACACAGAAAGATTCGTATGCATTCAACGTATCCATATTTAATATATCAATTATAATTTATATTTTTCAAACATAAATTGGAACTTATTTTGATTGAACTGCAATTCATACTTGTGTAATTGTGAAAGTTTATAACTCTTCCTCTTACTCATGAGGACTTTAAAGTCACAAAGTTGCTCTCATAATGTTGTTTTGTTTCTTATGTTTAAGTATTTATAACATTATTTGATAGTTACTAAAGAGAGAGATGAGATATTTTAATTAATTTGACAAAGACAACAAGCAACAAAAAAGAGAAGAAGACCGTTTAGCCTCTCAAGAAACTCATTCTAAAGTTGCAAATGTTACCCCTAAGAGACAATTTCTCTCTCTCTCTCTCTCTCTCTCTCTCTCTCTCTCTCTCTCTCTCTATTACACACACATGGTAACCGAGTTTCAATCTTTAATTTGTAATATGTAGGTTTCCATTGTCAATTATTCAACTTTTGATGATAATTTGTTATCCTTGTAATCGTCAATATGAATTTCTCTAATGGTTGGCTATTTATAATCACTCTAATTTGATATTTATTGTGTTTTAAGTTTTCTCTCTCTATTACACACACACGATAACTGAGTTCTGATCTTTAATTTTGAATATGTAAGTTTCCATTGTCAGATATTCACCTTTTGATGATAATATGTTATCAATGTAATAGTCTAACATGAATTTCTCTAATTGTTGACTGTTTATAATCACTCCAATTTGATCTTTATTGTGTTTTAAGTTTTTCTTTTCGGGAACTTGATTTACATGTTTTACTCATGTGAAGTCATGAAGAAATACTTGAATGAATGAACAATAAGTGTCACGCCCCATCCCAGTCTCCCAAAGATAAGACGCAACTAGGTTTTTGATACACCTGTTTATATATATATAATCTAGATTAATAAAATATTAATTAATCCCACATGTGCAACAATACCACCCATCACATTAGTTAATAAGCATGATGGTAAACCTGTCTCATCAGCTGTACTATATATAATACCTGTACTAATTGTTTGTTTCCGAGGTTATAGATAGATACAAAATTCCATACCCATATAACATACATCACAAAGTACATCTGTTGAGTCTGTTTACAAATATATATACTATTAACCTGCTATAATAATATCTCATTTAGCATAATATACCCAACAATTTATTATACAGTCCCTCAACTTGTATCATTTACTCATTTAAACTAAAGACATAACGAACAGAATATTATACTAACGTTGTACAAAACTCAACCCTTTTGACAGTGGACTGATCTGTGTCTCCCTCTCTTATACCTAAAAATGAGAAACTATAAGGGTGTGAGCTAAATCACGTGTTCAGTGGATATACGTGTCGTATATGAAATAAAAATGATAGTAACACACAGAAGTAGGTAAATACTAAGTAAATACACGTATCAAACAACAACATCAATTCAATTTCAAAACATTCACAAGTCACAACACATTCATACTATCCCTCATCACGTAATCAATCTCATGTGAATCCGTGTCTCCCGAACCTCCTGGGAACACCATAGTGCTAACACACCACTGCACGCCCAGTGATCAGGCATCGACGCTCTTGTCTCAAACAATGCACCACATTTCACAATGCACAATACAAAACATCATCCAATCACATAAGCACAAAGCACATAATCCTGGAGAAATGCTATTAAATTCTATCATCTAAAATCGTCTTATAATAGCATTTTCAAAACATATAAAGATATACACCCACCTCAATTGTTCCAAGCTATTGGCCTTCAGACCTATCGGTGGATCCCTTCGGTGTTCCTGTATCCGTCTCTATACCAACTGTCCTACCTGTTCCACCTAACACATTTGTAATTACAATATTAACATGTTATCACATTGACTAATTAATTATGCACTAATGCATGCAAGATGATTCAACCCAAAGTGCCCCGATAATCCTAGTTACCGCATTGTTCACTCACATACTGGCACATTAGATTTAGATATCATATTTCTTCCCCAAATCTTCAAAATCACTCACATTAATCACAATTAAGATTTACTAGGTTAAA